AGGTTCAACCCACCATTTTTTTCTTAAAATGTCCTGTACCAAGTCAGGAAAAGGGCCATTGTTATATTATAGTTCGTTTCTGTGCGTGTTACATTTTAATGTTGTGTTTTTGTTGTGTCGTTGTTCTCCTCTTATATTTTATGCGTTTCCCTCAGTTTTAGTTTGTAACCCGGATTTGTTTTTATCTCTATCGATTTATGAGTTTCGAACAGCGGTATACTACTGTTGCTTTTATTTACCTCTTCTTCGCCTAGTACGAGCATTGTGGAGTATGAGCAACGACTAATTCACTCGGAATAAAAATAATGGCTGATACTACGGGAAGACGCATATTTAAAATTTCATTCTGCCCGTCGTTGTAGTTCAAAGATTCTTGTTTTCATATCTTATAAACATTATTAACATCTTTAATTAACATTATCGTCCTGAGTATGCATTTAATGTTCGTCGTTGGACGTAACGTAGTTTATCAACAAATTATTTTTAATTGTTGATCTCCACCCCCCAAAAAATACCATGAAAATTTGTTGAGATACGGTGTGTGTATAGTCTAAAATAATAAGCTGGTTCTCTCCCTTTCAACATACGGGTAACTGAGTCACCCTTGTTGGCCCTGTATCTGTAGGTGCCAAACAGATAAAAAGGACAGTCCATTTGATTGTTTAGACATAACAGAAAAAAAATTATTCCTAATTCAAAATGAATGTTGATACGCTTGGTCTTGTAAAAAAAAAAACGTTGATTTCAGGCGCTCATTATTCTGAAGTTAATTCAAAATTTGTCCCCAAAGGTATCACCAGCCCAGAAGCCTTTACGTTCAAGCGTGAAAATACGAATATTGATTGATTGAAATTTGCTTTTATATAACATTTAAGAAATTATTTAAAGTTCAGGAATATATCTCCCTCATGCAAAGAGCTGGTACCTTGTCCGGTTTTGGCTGTTCTTTATGTCCTTTTTTATTTGATCAACTCCTCAACGTTCGTATTGAATTTTAGATTTAAATAGTCTAGCGTCGAGCATAACTGAAAGACATTTAATTGTCGAAATGCGCATCTGGTGCAGTCAAATTTGTACGTTTATGTTATATAAATGAATGTTTATACGCATGCTATGAGACAAATAAACTTGATTTAAGCGATCATTATTCTGAAATTATTTATATCGATATTACAGGGAAAACGGTAGTATTTATTCTATCATAGGCGACAATACTAACATTTTCTAAATATACCACTTTTTATAATAAAAACCTGGACAAAACAATTATGTATAATATTCGTAATTTATTATTATTGTTTTAGAAATTGAAGTCAAAATGGTATCATGGCCATCTTCGAACGGATCTTGTTTATGGTATCCATGCCCACCGTCATTTTACATAAAATTTATGAAAATTTGGTAGACTTTTCGAATAATTCATATATATATAATGTGTTTCAAAATTTATATTGTAAATATACACACTGCAGTTATTCATAAATAAATAGACAAATATATTATACCCTTACATCCAATCACAGAACTTCTAAATTGACTTCCTTCACCTGCGTTCGGTACATGAAAGGCCAACCTAAAGCCCGAAAAATGTAATATTTTTTTTCTCTACAAAGATACGTATACTCTGTGACAAAATAAACATTTGATTGTAGGCGCTCATTATTCAAATTTATCTGAATCGATGTTACAAAGATTGACATATGTATGAATGACACTTTTCAACGTCTTTTCTTTTCAACTCTCAGCTGTTAAAGTCTGTGGTGTGTTCATGACAGTAACAAAATAACCGTTGAACATACTTATAAGTACAATGTGTCTTTTCGCTTTTCCTAGTTATTAGACTGATATTTTAAGTTTCTGTTTTATTGAAATGCGATCGTGATCAGCTATCAAAATAAAAGGCAAAATTTAGATATAAACGTTGAATATGAAATATCAACCGAACTCTTATTCATAGGACTAACCAAATGAGTTTTCCTCAAATCGTTGATTTTCACATGTCACGTGCAACACGACTGGACTATAAAAAAATTCCATTTTTCCTCCTACTTTCACTTGATATTATTTTATGAGTATTACATTAGATTAGAAATAATATATTGTATATATTTATACTGTTTAACTATTAAGATTCATCATTCAAAGTTGTCCATTTTATACATGTAGCAGTGCCTTGTATTTGTTAAATGTACATCTAACAACAAGCAATCATACATGTGGTCTTTAATTTTTGATATGTTTATGTAAAATGTTTCTCATGTTTTACAGCCTTCATCCCCTATTTATGTATATATAATACTACTAAATTGAGATATAGATCTTAACCAAATAATCCTGTACGTGCTTTTCCTATGGTATTGTTAAAAAAGTCTACTAAATATTTTTAAAAAATGATAAATTTAACAAATATTACTAAAATGAACGTATAAAGTAACCATTAACTGTTGTTTAATAATCTTCAAATAATTTCGAACTAAGCAATCTATTTAAATATCCAAACATGCCGCAAATCCAGTACAAATTAACAGAGACATACAATACAAGAGATTCGCAGTTGATTCATAGTTGAATCGAAGTAACGGCCAATTAGTTACTTTATGCAAATTACCCAGAAATTAGATTTGTCCGTTCCTCAATGAAATATCAGTAAATGCCCTTGAATTCTGCATTTTCCAATAAAATTTTATCGAATTCAATGTCAATTTAGTTTTATTTAAAATTTAGTTTGTTTTACAAAAACGATTTTAAGAGTGCAAATTGGAAGGATACAAATACGACACTTAGTCTTACTTAAAAAAAAAAATCCGCAGTACTATATAAAAAGTAAAATAACAAAAATACCGAACTCCAAGGAAATTTCTAAACAGAAAGTCCCTTATTAAATGGCAAAATTAAAACGCTCAAACACATCAAACGAATGGTAACAATTGTCATATTTGGTACAGGCATTTCCTTCTGCAGAAAATGATGGATTAAACCGGGTTTTATAGCTAGTTAAACCCTTTACTTGTATGACAGTTGCATAGCATTCCATTATATTGGCCACAATGTATTAGCAATATAAACAGACATAATAGTTACAAAATGTATAAAAATAGGGGTACAGCAGTCAAAGTTGTGTTATAATTCTCATCACTATAAAACAAACAACTATGTCAACAAGGAAAAACGAAATAGACACTATATAGACACAGCACATTAGCAAAAATGAAAGACAAAAATTTAAAAAAAAAACCATAGCACAATAACACAATGGTGGGATGTATACATACCAAGCAACACCAAAAGGATATTATCAAAATATGGACTAAACAGTCAAGTTTAAAGATATACAAAGACAAATAAAAGAAAACTATAAGACGTCATTAAGATGATAAACAACGTCAGTACCTAGAATCTATACCTCAAGACCATAATGTATTATTTGTGAAGTTAATACGGAATAAATTGTAACAAGGTCTTGGTATCTTCCGATAAACATCTTTTTAGAAAAAGGACGAGACGTTCTTTGACATAACCCGGTTTCATTAACTTTCTGCCCAGATACTGGTGACGTTTAATAAAGTCTGAGTAGCAGCTGAAAGCTCTTGAATTTCGAATGAGTTGGAAAATGTATATCCTATTTGAACATCATCAATATATCTGAATATAAAAATTAAATCATCTGGCTTCTTTGATCTTTTTCTTAATTTGAACGAAGCAAATTGAAGTTTTATCTAAATTAAATATGACGTGCACCTCGTGTTGGTTTACGAAAGCCTACTAAAATTCTGTTCTTTGCCTTCCAGATTAAGAATGTTCTGTGTTTAACGTAACACTTCAAATAAGTTCATTTTGTCCCTGATAACCTAAATAAGGTTTAATACACTCTCATTTTAGATAGTGATATAAACAACTTGACGGATCCTCGTAATTTCAAGGGTGACATGCAGAATGTTCCATGTGACACAGATACCTTATTAAAATGATACAAATGACTATGAAATTCCAGTTATTGAGGTCTGTCTTTCGATTCTGATAGAGTCTGGAGGCCCAACATTGCCGGTTTACTTGTGTTAAGAACAATAAAATGTTTGTTTATGTGTTATTTTATCAAAATGAGTTTTTAAAAGTCAATTACTAACATTAAAAGTGATTTTATGATACAAAAACCACAAAATACCTTTTAACTCAAAATATGCACTGGTAAGATAACAATAAGGAGGAAAGATCTCCGTCATCAGTTGATATATACATAGGTGTTCAAGACAAACATATGTCTGTTTTCATTGTAATGATTTGATCATTTACATGTATGCGATTGTGGACGTCATATAAAGAATGGTTATATGTAAATTTTCAACAAAGAGAAATATTTTCTATCTAGTCATTTATTTTTCATATGAAATTAAATAATGTGAAATTTTGTAATTTTCAATTCTAAACACCAGATAATTTGCAAAAGATCCATCATATAACATGTGATCTAGCTTTCGCTAACTGAGCGAGGATATGTGTCTCTAATCTAAACAGCAAAGGGCCGTCTTCTTTCCTGGGGATTGTTGATTATATTCTTTTTTATTGATGTGCAAAAAACAAACTCTTCAATTGTGTGTGTCTGTCTGTTACCAAGGAGATTAAATGACCAGAAATTCAATTCATAGTTTTGGCGGTACATTTAAGCTAATATGCAAAGATAAATACTTTTTGGTGTCAGCGCGTGTGGGATTCAGTACTGTGGTACTTCACGTGATGTCATTTCTCCAATCATGTTTCATTTATCAGGTTTCCAACTCGGATTACATTGTTCAGAGTATAACATGAACAAGACTTCCGATTGAAACAATTATGTTTTTGTAATTAGCAGTTTACTTTTTTGAATAAATTTCATTGGGTTCCATGTATGTCGGACATTTTTATACAGAAATGCTCGACTAGCTATAGTAAAGTACAGCCTTACATTACTTAATCGCAAAACTGATTGCTATTTGGTTAAGCAAGACTTTAAAAAAAAATAAATATCAAATATCATATCGACAAAAGTCTTCTTTTATTGAAAAAATTATATTATACAAAGTAATAGGTATGTTTATATTGAAATCAGACTACACATTTTTAGTATTTTTTATTCTGATTGAGCCACTGAGACATAAAAGATCTGGCAATGTTACCAGTACCATATTTCTGTACAATAACTTGGTACTGTTTAGGGACGTATTTCATCCGAAATCGAGGATTATCATATCCTTACGACAAAATTCTTCCAAAACCACCTATTCCGCCAAAACCTCCTATCCGACCAATACCTGCTCAGCCACCATATCCGCCATATCCAAAGCTTGAAATTCCAACGGGACCATACCCACTGCTAGCATATCCAACGGAGCCATATCCACCTAGCGCAGCTATGTTGTTGACTAATAGCACTGCTACGACTGCAAATATACACTTGACGTTCATTTTACAACTGTGTTGTGAATACTACAAAAGAATTATAAATGAATTGTAGTTGTACTATAACTGGAAGTTCAAATACGAATACATATTTATAAATAAAAAAAACCAGTATCGTTACTCTAGTATCTAAAATGGGATGACGCAATATAATTGTTTTTATCTGGCAGTGAACCTAGCATTATCTAGTTTTGAAACACACTTGAACACAGTATCATAACATAAGCGTTCAACATGACACAGCGTTTTTGGCAAGCCGATCTTGCCAAAACTAGTATGTTTAAATTTTTTTCAGTGGAAAAAAACTGCACACGGAGAATTATTAATAATACACGCTGAGAAATAAGAAAAACCAAACAAACAAAAAAAACTCAACAACAAACACTAAGAATTACAAAAGAGAAGCGGAAGATACTGAAAGAGACATTCAAACTTATCAGTCGAAAATAAACTAACAACGCCATGGCAAAAACAAACACCAACAGACAAACAACTGTACATAAAACACAACATAGAAAATTAAAGACTGAGCAACATGAACAAATCAGTCTTAGATTTCAGAAAATATCACACTGAGATTTACAAAAAATGCACTGAACCCCTTATGAGTTTTTTTCCTATGAAAAGTAGTGGAAGAATATTATTATCACAAGAAGTTTCAAAACTTTGGAATGTGATTGCAAATTTACAGCTGGTGTTTTTCTATTAATGTCGAAAAAAATGTTAGAACTAAGAAAGAAAAATACATTTTGAAAAATACCGTATATCCTTATTCGAAACAATTTCTTCTAGCTTACTTTTAAAACTGCAGTTTTAAAAACAAAAAAACTTTTAGTTTGTGCGAGAGACAGAAAATACAACGATTTACATTGGGGTATGCATTCAAAGAAATATTTCACGAAGAAATAAACCTAAAACAATCATGCATGAGTATCAAATCTCGCGTCAAGAAATTCAGACGACGTCAATAATCCGGCATGTAAAATAATTTCAGATAAGCCATGTAATTCTGTTTTCCAATCAAAAAGAGTTATGGTAAGCGTGAATAGCAAGAATATGAAGATTAATCATGATTTGAAATTAAAAATTCACTCGAATGTGTGTTGCGGTTTTTAAAGTCCGTCCAAATATAGGAGTTACCAGATACAAATGTAAAGCTAGGGATAATATTTACTAATTTTATCTCACAAATAGATCATTAAAAAAAATCGTTGAAATTCTTCCATTGCCCTAAGGGAGAAATCTAGAGTATTGTCCAAACATTTTCATTAATTGTCCACAATGACAAGAAGTGTTTAAATGTTAAAATACGGTTAATTGGGTGAAACCATTCCCTATAGATAAGGAGTGACACTATCTCCCATATAGCTCTACACCTCGTACATAAAAGTGTTTCGTAAATATGGATATAGAGTTTAAAATAGAGATGTTATCAATATTATTAAAATGAGTAATAGTGTAGCATTTTACAATAACTTTTGTCGGAATCAAGTAAGAGCATATGCTGATTTGCTAGGAGTAGTAACAGTTAAAAATAAAAGAGAAAAGAGATAAATAATGAAAATTAAAACTATCAAACCTTACATAGAAATTAATCAAAAGAAAAAGATAAACAGCTATCAGCATTTATTATCTTTTGAACAATATTTCGCATATTCTTACCTCTTCTGCCCGGTTTGAAATGACAAGATAATATCAATGGTGAATTTCTCGTACACTTATAAAGAGATAAAATGGGGATATTTTAATAATTAACCTTGTGTTTGTCAAGTGAAAGAAAACCATGAAAAAAAAACAATCTATCAAATTTGAAACATAAGACTTTCGTAATATATTTTTTTTTCTATTTCGAGCAGTTATTTTTCAAAAAGATTTGACAATGTGATAAAAGTGATACCAATCATTATCAATCTTTTATAACTTAGAATTGGAGCAAGAACTTATCGGAATTCTTACATAACACAGTAGTCAACGTGTTAAAAAAATGTGCAATCTATCACAATATTTTACAGTCTGTATGTCTTTGGAATTCGATCGTCTGGTTGGTCTCGTGGTAGCGTACGTGATCTCGTCGAGTGAAAATCAAAAACTGTAAACCAAATTAGTATGTTTCGCTTCCTTGCCGAGTACGAGCATTGCGGAGTATTAGCAACGACTCATTTGCTCGGAATTAAAAAAAGACTGACACCATGCGAAGACACATATTAAAAAATGCAATTCTGCAAGTCGTTGTGGTTCAAAGATTCTTGTTTTCATGTCTTATTAACATTTTGGAATTTTGGGTCCTCAATGCTCTTCAACTTTGTACTTGTTTGGTTTTATAACTATTTTGATCTGAGCGTCACTGTTGAGTCTTATGTAGACGAAACGCGCGTCTGACGTATTAAATTATAATCCTGGTACCTTTGATAACTTTTGACACCACTGGGTCGATGCCACTGCTGGTGGACGTTTCGTCCCCGAGGGTATCACCAGCCCAGTAGTCAGCACTTCGGTGTTGACATGAATATCAATTATATGGTCATTTTTATAAATTTTCTGTTTACAAAACTTTGAATTTTTCGAAAACTAAGGATTTTCTTATCCCAGGAATAGATTACCTTAGCCGTATTTGGCAACAACTTTTTGGAATTTTGGGTCCTCGATGCTCTTCAACTTTGTACTTGTTTGGCTTTATAACTATTTTGATCTGAGCGTCACTGATGAGTCTTATGTAGACGAAACGCGCGTCTGGCGTATTAAATTATAATCCTGGTACCTTTGATAACTATTAACATCTTTTATTAATATTATCGTCCTGAGTATGTATGTAATGGTCGTCGCTGGACGTAACGTAGTTCATCAATCAATTATTTTTAATTGTTGATTTATTTCCAAAAAAAACGACAATGCCGTGATAGTTTGTTGAGATACTGTATGTTTGTAGTCGAAAACAAATACGCTGGTTCTGTTCTCTCCCTTCCAACATACGGGTATCTGAGTCACTCTTGTTGGCCCAATATTGGTAAGTACCAAAGAGATACAAAGGACAGTCCATTGTTATTGTTCAGACATAACAGAAAAAATCTATTTCTTATTCAAAATGAATTTTGGTACTCTTGGTCTTGACAAAAAAACCGTTGATTTCAGGCGCTCGTTATTCTGAAGTTAATTTAAAATAAGTCCGTGTTGGTATCACCAGCCCAGTAGCCATCATTTCGGTTCAAGCGTGAAAATACGGATATGGGTTGATTGAAATTTGCTGTTATATATATAAATTTTTGATATTATTAAAAGTGCAGGAATATATCTCTCTCATGCAAAGAGCTGGTTCCTTGATCGGATTTGGCTGTTCTTTGTGTCCTTTTTTATTTGATCAGCTCCTCAGCGTTTGTATTAGGTTTAGGATTTAAATATTTTGGCCTCGAGCATAACTTAAGAGACATTTACTTGTCGAAATGCGCATCTGTTGCAGTAAAATTTGTACGTTTATGTTAATAAACTGAATGTTAATACGCATGGTATGAGACAAATAAACTTGATTTTAAGCGCTCATTATTCTAAAATTATCTGTATCGATATTTCAGGGTAAACGGTTATACTTAATCTTCCATAGGCGACTATACCAACATTTTCTAAATCTCCTTTATTTATAATAAAAACCTGGACAAAAAGTTATGTGTGATATTATTAATTTGTTTTTCTGTTTTTTAAATTAAAGTCAAATGGCATCATGACCATCTTCGCACGGAGCTTGTTAAGGGTATCCGTGCCCACCGTCTTTATACATCAAATTTATGAAAATTTGGAAGCCTTATCGAATAATCCTCAAGAATTTTTTTAATGTGTTTCAAAATTTATATCGTAAATATATACACTGCAGTTATTCATAAATGAATAGAAAAATATATTATACCCTTACATCCAATCACAGCTCTCCTAAGTTGACTTCTTTCACCTGCCTTGGGTACAAGAAAGGCTAATCTAAAGCTAGGAAAATGTAATACTACTTTTTTTCGACAAAGATACGCATGCTCTGTGACAAAATAAACATTTGATTGTAGGATCTTGTTATTCTAATGTTATCTGAATCGATGTTACAAATAATGACATATGTTTGAATGACACTTTTCAACGTCTTTTCTCTTCAACTCTTAGCTGTTATAGTCTGTGATTTGTTCATAACAGTATTAAAATAAACAGTTGAATATACTTATAAGTACAATGTGTCTTTTCGCTTTTCTCAGTTTTTAGACTGATATTTTAAGTTTTCTGTTTTATTGAAATGCGATCGTGTTCAGCTATCAAAATAAAAGGCAATATTCAGATATAAACGTTGAGGATGAAAAATAAACCGAGCTCTTATTCATAGGACTAACCATATGAATTATCCTAAAATCGTTGATGTTAACATGTCACGTGCATCACGACTGGAAATATATATATAAAAAACCTATTTATCCTCCTAAATTTACTTGATATTATTTAATCAGTATTACATTATATTAGAAATAATATATGTATAAAGTTTAATCAAATCAATTTGATTGTCATTAAACATTTACAGAATGTTTGTAACAATCCAAATTTAAACAAACAATAAACAACAAAATAACAACAAAACAGAGTACAAAAAAACATAAGTGATAGATTTAAAATATTCAATAGCCATGTCACAATGTCACAATGAGACATCTGCCCTCAGTTTTAATGACCTTTAAGGTATAAAACCACTAATGCATAGCCCCATTGCTTTCTATGTTAAATTCTGCAATTTCAAGCTTTAATGGTTACTTTGTCTTAAGTTCAAATAAAGTGGCAGTTATTTCATGTCAAAACTGTACCTTATCCTGACTTGTGCTGAAAAAATCAACATACCTTTAATTGCATATTAGAGCGTACTGGTTCGCGGAAGTTTGATAGTACAAAAACAGGAACTTCTGATCTGAACAACAGGCCAAATGAGCCCTCCTATTAAAATTTCATATACTTCTTTATTTTTCAAATAAAACTTTCAACAAAGGTCCTACAGTCATCCCAAGTCAACAAGCTTTCATTTGATACAAAAACTACCCAAATATTCCCACTATTGACACAGATACAGCTATGCGTAGGAACTATTTTGTTTAAAATATGTACTACGTTCTTGTATGTTCTTTCTGACCGGGCCTGAATTAGTGGTTCTATACCTATAACAGCACCAAACTTGTTATATTGACTTCTGCTTGACTTAATTTCCTTCTATGATCTATTTCTAGCATAGAAAAACACATCAAGCTTTTGTCAAAACACTATATCACTGAATTCAAGCTCAAATTAGACTGGTAGTAGCATATGCGTTAAACAAAGAAAACTACATATGGATACTAATAGTGACAGATATGACACTTTTTCATTTTTTACCAGTTCTGATTTGTTAATATTTACTCAAATAACAGTGTTCTCATCTATATGTCTTATTTTTATCAGAGATTCTTCCTTGAATATAAATACAGTGGTCAAAACATAAAATATAATTGATAATTTTGTCCCCCCTTTTTTCTACATGTTGGAAAAGGAGAGTGATTTGGTAAAAAACCATACTTTTATGTATAAACATGGATCACCAAGAGTAATTTATGTATCTCCAAGCTAGACAACTTGCTAAAATGGTTATAAAATGCATTTCAAGTGAGAATTTGGAATTCCTATATAAGTATACACCAATTTTCCTTGAAATAAATAATTCACTATGAAAGACAATAAAACATGAACACTCACTAGATAATTTGACCAAAAACAATATTTATACTGCAAACAAGTCATAATATACAAGTCTCATTGGTTTCAGTGTAAGATACTCCAAAAAATAAAATTTCAGGTAAAATCTTAACTGTGTGCATGCTAAATGACCAAAAAAGGCTAAAATATCTTAATGTAGCAATTTGAGGGTTGTAATTTGACACTAACATAATTGTTACATAAAAAAAATAATGTAACATGATTTCTGACAACGAATGTGACCAATTTTCACTGTAAAGGGTATGATTTCTAAAAATAGAATTTCATATGCCTGTCAGTAATAGGTATAAAACCACTAATTCATAGCCCCATTGCTTTCTATGTTAAATTCTGCAATTTCAAGCTTTAATGGCTACTTTGTCTTAAGTTCAAATAAAGTGGCAGTTATTTCATGTCAAAACTGTACCTTATCCTGACTTGTGCTGAAAAAATCAACATACCTTTAATTGCATATTAGAACGTACTGGTTCGCGGAAGTTTGATAGTACAAAAACAGGAACTTCTGATCTGAACAACAGGCCAAATGAGCCCTCCTATTAAAATTTCATATACTTCTTTATTATTCAAATAAAACTTTCAACAAAGGTCCTACAGTCATCCCAAGTCAACAAGCTTTCATTTGATACAAAAACTACCCAAATATTCCCACTATTGACAAAGATACAGCTATGTGTAGGAACTATTTTGTTTAAAATATGTACTACTTTCTTGTATGTTCTTTCCGACCGGGCCTGAATTAGTGGTTCTATACCTATAAACGGGGTTTATCATCTTATTGTTCATCATCTAATTGTATATCATTAAATAGATTTTGTCTGATATTCTTGTTTACCTTGCAATTCAGAATTAAGTGAGATTCATCTTCGATGACTTTGCAGATTTTGTACAATCTTTTATTTGTTCTCGAGGAATTTTAATGTAACGACCATTTTCTATTTCAAGACCATAGTAACTTATACGAAATTTTGTAAAAATATTTCTGATAGAAAAATCATTAAACAATAAGTAAAAATTGCTTCAAGTGAAGGTTTTAGCTTTTTATACAGAAAAGGTTACTCTCGTCGATTTTTTTCTATTTTTCTTTTATATATATCTTTATTATAGTCATTCATTACATCGGTAATGTTCTTACAGTTGGCCACTTTGTCTTTAAGGTTATTGGTTGGTAAGACGTTCTTAGCATATATATACCAAGAATAACCACTTTGTCATACTGTATAGTTATTATTAGTACACATCATTGAAAGTTATCCATTATATACATGTAGCAGTGTCATGTATTTGTTAAATGTACATGTAAGAACAAGTAATAATACAGTCATGTAGTCTTTAATTATCTATCAATTTATGTAAAATGTTTTTCATGTTTTACAGCATTCATCCCCTATTTTTGTATATTGAATGCAACTAAATTCAGATAATAAAAGATCTTTACCAAATAATCCTGCACATGCTTTTCCTATGGTATGGTTAAAAAAAAGTCAACTAAAAATTAAAAAAAAGGATCAATTTAAAAAATTATACTTTAATGAAAGTATTAGGTAACCATTAACTGTTTAATATTCTTCAAATAATTTCGAACTAAGCAATTTATTTAAAAAAAAACATCCCGCAAATCCAGTACAAATTAACAGAGACATATAATACAAGAGATTCGCAACTCATAGTCGAATCTAAGTAACGGCCAATTAGTTACTTTATACAAATTACCCAGAAATTAGATTTTTCCGTTCCTGATTGAAATATCAGTAAATTTCCTTAAATTCTGGATTTTCCAATAACATCTTTACGAATTCCATATGTTTTTTAGTTTTATTTCAAGTTTTTTTTTTTTTTTTTTTTACAAAAACGATTTTAAGAGTTCAAATTGGAAAGATACAAAGACGACACTTAGTCTAACTTAAAAAAAAACATCCGCAGTTCTATATAAAAAGTAAAATAACATAAATACCGAGCTCCAAGGAAATTTCAAAACGGAAAGTCCCTTATCAAATGGCAAAATCAAAAGCTCAAAACATCAAACGAATGTAAAACAACTGTCATATTCCTGATTTGGTACAGGCATTTCCTATGTAGAAAATGGTGGATTAAACCTGGTTTTATTGCTTGCTAAAGCTTGTACTTGTATGACAGCTACAGAGCATTCCATTATACTGGCCACAATCTGTGAGCAAAACAGCAGACATTATAGGTACAAAATGTCAAAAATTGGGATACAGCAGTCATTATGCTATAATCCTCACAACTATAAAACAAACAACTATGTCAACAAAAAAATAAGAAATAGACACTCTGTAGACAAAGCAAATAAGCAAAAATGAAAGACAAAAAAATGACAAAGCAAAATAACACAATGGCGGGATGTATAAATAACGAGCCACGCCAAAAAAGATATTATCAAAATATGGAATAAACAGTCAAGGTTAAAGATATACAGAGACAAATAAAAAGAACATTATAACACGTTATGAAAATGCTAAACAACGTCAGTACCTATAATCTATACTTCAAGACCATCATGTATTATTTGTCAAGTTGATACGGAATATTTATCAACATGGTCTTGGTATCTTCCGATGAACTTTTTTTTAGAAAAAGGACGAGACGTTCTTTGACATAACCCAGGTTTTTCAACTCTCTGCCAAAACACTGGTGACGTTTTATAAAGTCTGATTAGCAACTGCTAGCTCTTGAATATCGAATGAGTTGTGAAATGTATATCCCATATGCAGGTGAAGTTAGTATATTGCTGCTGAAATTTATAATTTCAAAATTAAAATCGTCTCGTTTGTCATAGATTCTGGTACTGAGATGACCGTTTATTCGAGGTATAAGTCTAAAAATGACACAGAGGAAGCCTTGTCTGTTGTTTCTTTAATTTCTAGTTCTGTGGGGTATGTTAATGGAACCCAATCAGAAAAGCTTGGATTATAATGGAAAAAACATCATCAATACATCTGAAAGTAAAATTAAATGATCTGGTTTCTTTGATCTTCTTCTTAAAAGGAATGTTTATGTTGAACGAAGCAAATTTAAGTTTTATCTCAATTAAATATGAATTACCTCTCGTTCTAAAAAAATCTGTTCTTTGCCTTCCAGATTAAGAATGTTCTGCGTTTAACGTAACACTTCAAATTAGTACATTTTGTACCTTATAACCTCAATAAGGATTACTACCTTTTCAATTGTGTGTGTCTGTTTGTTACCAAAGAAACTAAATGACCAGAAATGTGGGTTTCATATCTGTGGTAATACACTTGATGTCATTTCTTCAAATATGATTCATTTATCAGGTATCCAACTCTGAACATATTGTACAGAGTATAACATGTACAAGACTTCCGATTGAAATAATTATGTTTTCGTAAAGTGTTTACCTTTTTGAAGTAATCTCATTGTGTTCCATGATGGTCGGATATTTTTATAAAGAAATGCTCGACTAGCTATAGTAAAGTACAACTTTACATTACTTAATCGCAAAACTGATTGCTATTCGGCTCTGAGCAAGACTTATAAAAAAAATAAATATCAAATATCATATCGACAAAAGTCTTCTTTTATTGAAAACAATATATTATACAAAGTAATAGGTATGATTATACTGAATTCATACAACACATTTTTAGTATTTTTTATTCTGATTGAGCCATTGAGACACAAAAGATCTGGCAATGTTACCAGTAGCATATCTCTGTACAATTCCTTGGTACTGTTTGGGGACGTATTTCATCCAAAATCGGGGATCACCATATCCTGACGACAAAATTCCTCTAAAACCACCTATTCCCACGGGGCCATATCCACCGCTCGCTGCTATGTTGTTGACTAATAATAGCACTGCTACGACCGCAAATGTGCACTTGACGTTCATTTTACAGCTGTGTTATGGATACTACAAAAGAATTATCAATGAATTGTAGTTGTACTATAACTGGAAGTTCCAATGCGAATACGTATTTATAAATAAAAAAACAATATTGTTACTCTATTATCTAAAATGGGATGTCGCTATATATTCTTTTTTTTAGCAGTGAACCTAGCATTAATTTAGCTAGTTTTGAAACACACTTGAACACAGTATCATAATGTAATCGTTCAGCATGACACAGCGTTTATGGCAAGCCGATCTTGCTAAAACTAGCATGTTTAAGCCGTTTTTTGGAGGAAAAAATTACACACGTAGAATCATTAATAAAACACGCCGAGAAAAAAAACACACACACACACACACACAAACAAACAGAAAAACTTCTACAAACAAACAATGAGAAGTACAAATTAATCTTTTAGATTTCATAAAAACGCACTGAGATTAAACCAAAAGTGCATTGGACCCCTTATGAATTGTTTCTATTGTAATTTAGAGAAAAAAATAAATACCAAAATGAGTTTCAAAAAATATTTCGTTTTTTTTTTTTTTTTTTTTTTTTTTTTTATGTAATTGCAATATGTAGCTGTTTTTTTTGTGTTGTTTTTTTTTTTTTTTTGGTATTCAAGTCGAAAAACTTGTTAGTACCAATAAAGATAAACACATTAAAAAAAAACCTTATATCCTTATTCGAAACAGTTTCTGCGAGTTAACTGTTAACACTGCAGATTTGAAAACAAAAGGGTTTATTTTTTTAGTTTAAACATATTTTATTTCCTCAAAGCAAAAAAGGATCAGACACAAGTAAAACATACTTATAAAGTCTTCTCCACAATACAATATATATAACAGTACAAATTGAACATGAGCATGCATCATATAATATAAACAACATAAGTCCAACTCGCAGCCTTCGGGAAGCCAGCTGAGACCATTAAAAAGAATAGCCCTTTCATTTAGATAGAAAGGGTTTATTTTGTGTAACAGATAGAAAATGATAACTACTTATACAGTGGGATATGCATTCAAAGAAATATTTCAACACACAAAGTAGTGCGCAGCAAGGTTTGAATAAAAGATTGAAAAATGCGACATATCTTGAAAATCTTTTAAAATAAATTCAGACATTAAATTCTTCCAAACCCCAAGGGAGAAATCTGGAGTGTCGTCAAAATATTTGCATTAACTGTCTACAAGGACAAGAACAGTTGAAACCTCCTCTTGTTGATAAGGCTTCACACTATATTTTATATAAATGTATAGCTATAAAACTCACGCAGAATTTTTTTTCGTATGTAGAATTACAATAAAGATGTTAAAATCTTATGATTAATACAAGTAATATTGTAGTATTTTACAATAACGTTTTCGAATTAAAGCAAGATGTGTATGCTGATTTGCCAGAAGTGATAGATAAAAAATATAAAAAGAGGAGAGAAATAAATAATCAGATTTAACAAACTGTAGCGGTAGAAATTAATAGAAAGAAAAAGATAAACAGCTTGAACAATTAATCGTCTTTTATATCTGAACATTACATTTCAAATAGTCTTACCTGTTCTGCCCGGTTTGAAATGAGGAGATGATATCAATGGTGCATTTCTCGTGCATTTATATATAGATAAAATGGGGATATTTCATTAATTAATTGTGTACGTCAAGTGACAGTTAACCATGAAAAAAATATAAAAAATAAACACTCTATCAAATCATGAAACATTAGTCTTTCGTAACAACTTTTTTTAAATTTTGACCAAGTATATTTTCAAAAGCTTCGACAATGTGATAAAATTATATTAGTCATCATCAATCTTTTCGTTATTAGATTTAGTGAAAAAATTTAATCAGAACTCTTACATAAAACAGTATTTCACGTGTTAAAAAAAGTGCAATCTATCAATTTGACCGACTAGCTGGTCTCGTGGTAGCGAGCTCTCGTCGAGGTCAAACCCCAGATTGTAAATCAAACTAGAATTTGCCGCTTTTTCCCCTAGTACGGGCATTGGGGAGTATGAGTAACAACTCATTTGCTCAGAGTCAAAATAATGACTATTACCTTTGATAGACGCATATAAAATTTAATTCTGCCCGTCGTTCTAGTTGAAAGATTCTTGTTTTCATATCTTATTAACCATATTAACATGTTATCATCCCGAGTATGCATGTAATGTTCGTCTCTGGACGTTAGGCAGTTCATGTATCAATTAATTTGAATTCTTGATTTTTTTGTTTGAAAAACGACACTGTCGTAAAAGTTTGTTGAGATACTGTTTGTGTCTAAACAATTATAACAATTATAAGTAAAAGTACGGCCTTCAACACGGAACCTTGGCTCACACCGAACAGCAAGCTATAATGGGCCCCAAAATGACTAGTGTAAAACAATTCAAACAGGAAAACCAACGGTCTAGTCGAAAACAATACTCTGGTTCTCTCCCTTCCAATATACGGGTATCTGAGTCGCCCTTGTTGGCCCTTTGTTTGTGAGGGCCTTTTATGTCTTTATGTCCTTTTTGATTTGATAAGCTCCTCAACGTTAGCAATGATTTTCACATGTCACGTGCAACACGACCGGGACTACAAAAAAGCCTACTTATCCTCTTATATTCACTCAATATTTAATGAGGGTTCAATCCTTAGTGTTTCATTGCAATGTTAATGCAAATACTGATTCGTTCGTTTTCTTTTTATTATTGTGTTTTGTCTGTCTTCTACTTGTATTCTTTATCAAATCATTGAAATTGTTGATATTCCATCCAATCATTCTAATCGAAAGAAACAGGTGCTTTAATTTAGAATTTTTCCAAAAACAAAAATACAGAATCCCAAGAAAATTCACAAAAAGGAAAGTCCCTTAACAAATGGCAAAATCAAAAGCTGAAACACATCAAACGAAAGGAAAACAATTGTCATATTCCTGACTTGGTACAGGCATTCCCTTATGTAGAAAATGGTTCATTAAACCTGGTTTTATAGCTAGCTAAACCTCTCACCTGTAAGACAGTCGCAGGGAAAGCTATTGTTTTCTATTTTGAGTATTTCAGTAAATGTGTCTTTTTTTTGCAGGGAATTATTATTTTTCCATTTTTAGCAACAAAAATCAACAACTTTTAAAATCACTAAGGTAACAAAGAGTTTCACACAGTCATAAACTAGCATAGCACGACACAGTCATAAACTACCATAGCATGACACAGTCATAAACTACCATAGCACAACACAGTCATAAACTACCATAGCACGACACAGTCATAAACTACCATAGCACGACACAGTCGTAAACTAGCATAGCACGACACAGTCGTAAACTACCATAGCACGACACAGTCATAAACTACCATAACACGTCACAGTCATAAACTACCATAGCACGACACAGTCATAAACTACCATAGCACGACACAGTCATAAACTACCATAGCACGACACAGTCATAAACTACCATAGCACGACACAGTCAGACGAACAGACTGGTATAATTACAAGTTGTTAAAACACCTATATATACATGTACATGTATCAATAACATGACATTTTTATTTGTGATTTTTAAGTACATGTCTTTTTATGCCTGTCTGTGTTATTGTGACACATTTAAGTCTTTATGGATCAGATATTTTTATCTTTTACAGATTGTTAACGTCCAGTGGCGAATCCAGGAAGGGGGTTGAACCCCCCTTTCCCTTTCGTTTGACAACTAAGGCTTTTGTATGGGGACATATGATTGGAACCCCCCTTTTTATATGACTTGCATGTGTTGGAACCCCTTCTTAAAAATGGCTGGATTCGCGCCTGAACGTCTACACAAATTATGGTTCGACGAATAATGCATGAAAAAGCTGGAAACGTTGATTTCGTCGATGCATATGATTTGAATCCTTTTGAAATTCATGCAATTCCCTTCTATTAATTTGAAAGTGATCTTCACATCAGTGAACATGTATTAAATGAAAATAACGTTTGTTAAATTTCGTGTGTCCGAAGTTTTTCTGGATTTACTTTCAAGAAGAACGATCACCCTCCCTCCTCCACCACCCCCCCCCCCCCCAACCCCCGCCCCCCCCCCCTTTTCCCCCCAAAAAAAATTGAAAGCCATGCAACTAACTGCTAGAAGTCCTTTGTTAAATTATGTTGATTAATGTCATTTTGTGTAGTTTATTCTGTTACCTATTCTTACATCGGACTCGGACTTCTTTTGAACTGAGTTTTGCGGTGTGTTTATCTATTCCACATTGGCTAGAGGTATAGAGGGAAAGTTGAGAATTAACAAACGTGTTTAACCCCGCCGCATTTTTGCGCATGTCCCATTTCAGGAACCTCTAGTCTTTGTTAATCTTGTGAGTTTAAAAAAAAATTTGGTTCATTTGTATGTTTCAGAGTTTAGTGTGACGTCTATTTCACTGGAATAGTATACAGTTTTGTTTAAGGGTCAGCTCCGGGTGCGGTACTTTGGTAGAAAACCCATTGATGGACTTGGGCTGTTTTCTTCTCTTTTGTTGGGTTGGTCTCTTTGGCACATTCCCCGTTTCCATTCTCAATCTAAGGATGTATAAATACCTGGCAACTTGAGGAGCTATATGAGCAAACCCTATGGATCTAAAAAGAAAAGCCAAATGCATCTAAGGTAACCTTTACCTGAGGGAGTTACAACCTTAGATCCTAATAGTTTCTTATTTTAAGCTGATACGTGTTTTATAAAAATAGGAGATGTGATTATGATTGGCAATGAGACAACTGCAAGTATACATTAAGACCATAAGAATTACATGGATAGATTTTTTTTCTTGGGTTTTTATCACTTGTATAAATATTATAATGTTCCATTCGCCATTTCCTTATTTTATATTATTTGTTAAATTCAAGTATTTAGTAAGATCATATGAAAGCAACCAATCAATCAATCAATCAATTAATCAGTCAATCAGTAATGAATTGAAGCAAATAAGTTAAATTATATTGAAAAAGTGAAATGGCACGACTTCCTTTTTAACTCCCCTCGTGGATGTCTTTCATACATAACCCGTCTACAGATGGGGGTCAAAATATCTTTCTACCTTTCTGTGGATTCTGATATAGTTTTTCTATTTAAATTCGACAGAAGTTAATGTTTTTTTCAATTTTCCCAATGTGAATTTGAGTTTTACTAAATAAACCAACAATGAATATTGCATAAGACGAAAAAAGCCATATTATGTAAAATATAGATAGGAAAAATCACTTTTGGTGTCAGGAGACAGCGCGTTTTTTTTTGTTTTTTTTTTGTTGCGTAACCTTTCATTGTTCACATGTTTTGATAAAGTAATGAGTTATATAGCACATATTTGCGTAGTTTTTTTTATTGTTTAGGACTTTGTACCATTGCATAAATCAACAAAATATTACAAAACAACACGATTAATAGTTGTATAATTTACCTTGAGTGTCACGTGGCATCTTTTAAGTGCGGCTTCGATAAACATTCACATAGAAATTTATTTTATTTGAAAACATAGGACTTTAACTTATATAATGAAAAAATAAAAGTTACATAAAGATTAATTTACACTGTTGCCAAAAATAGCACCGAAAGTCAATAAGTATGTACATGTAGGATTAAGATTAAACATGAGCTGGTCAAAATCTAAGAATTACACTAATCGTGTCGGAAATTTAGATTTTTCTTTTTTACGCGTTTGTGTGCCCTTTTCGCTCGTGAATTTTAAATGGTTTGAAATGTGAATGTAGACACTAACTATAATATGATACAGGTCTTTAATATCACACACATCTTTTTATCTATATGTGTATTATCCTGCGTTTTAAAATTTTCATATTTAAAAGCAATAAAAGTAAACGATAAAACAGAATATTTTAATCAAGTGAAAATTTTCTTCACTCCTGGATTCGCTTTAAACCTTTTGAAAAGATAAACGATACAGATCTGGAAGCTATAATTTTCAAAAAAGGGGTGACAAGGAAGGGAAAAATGTACCTAAACGAATGGGGACTGGGAGTCAAAAGATAAAGAAAAAAATGTACCAAAAACACAAATATTCGGCCATAAGGAATCCTGGACATCTAGTGCGTCTGGAAGAGCAACTGCCTACATTATAGTCACGTGATTATAGTAGTCGAGTTGAAACATTGGATCAACTGCTTGTGCCTAAGTTTATCGATATAGGTCTTTACTATTTAATAAGTACATTTAAAAGTAGGATAGCAATTTATATAATCTTAGCCCAAAGGTTGACTGGGGTACGGAAATAAGTTCCTCCCTGGTCTTCTCTCGTCCGACAATAAAACTTTTGCCAAAGAAAGGCGTACTTTTGTCTGCGCGGGATATATCCGATCGAAATGGGTACGTTAAATCAGATGTCTCGTGAATGGTGAGTGGCGAGCTATCGGCTCGTTCATGAAACCTAAGGCTTGAAACCATTATATGAGGGGTTTATCTATGAGGGGTACACAGGTAGCCTGCTGCCCCCATTTCAAGCATACCCTAAGTTGCGTGTGGCAGTAAAAATTTCCAGCCATTCACTCCGGTCAAACATACCTTGAAAAATTTATATTTTATTGTGTGTCTTTTTATGTTGTTATACCACTGTATCTGGTTAGGGTGAAGGTTGGCTCCTGTTA